ATCGGAGTGGGGTCCAGGGGGCGAAGCCCCCTGAGGCTCAGCGGTTTTAGGCATTAAATAACGATCAGGAGCCCCCGGAAGCTCAGGGTTTTAGGTTTTTTAATATGGTCAGATGAGCATCCAGTGGCCCGCTTAGGGCCCTGGTGGGGTTCAGGGGCGGACCCCCGGAAGCTCAGGTGTTTTAGGCATTTAATTGTGGTCAGCTGAGCAACCAGGGGCCCGCCTTAGGGCCCTTAGTGGGGTACAGGGGGCAGAGCCCCCGGAAACTCATGGAAAATCATGCCATTTCAGCAACACTTGTAAATTAGTCACTGGTATCGAATTAGATATAAACCACCTTTGAATTTTATCGGGAGGGGGTGGGGGGACTGCCCCAAGCCCAAGTGAGCGGGTGAAGGTGACAAAAGTGACCACCTCTCACAGGTTTTGGAGTTATGTTGTATTACAAAATTAAATTCCTTTGCAAAACTAAACTTTTTTTCCCACTTCACTTTTCTACAATATTTAATTGTATATTTTGAAGGATATTATGCGAGGGAGCAAAGCTCCCGAGCCAGATTGTCGATTTTACGATTGTCGATACCACCCCTCCTGTAAACGAATGGTTGTCGATTGTCGATTTTACGATTGTCGATACCACCCCTCCTGTAAACGAATGGTGCCCCGAAAACCAAATTATCCTCGCCCCTGTTGGCGCCACCACTGCCTCAATCGCGTGGAAAACACCAACTGCTACGGAAGCAGCTGGGATTGCATCAATGATTTATCGTCTCAAACCATCAGCCTGGAGTTAACGTCACGGTTGGAAGATCCATTTCGATCATTTACAATGTAACCGACAACAGTGGACTGACAAACAAGAATTTTTAATTCACCTTGGAGACCTGGCAGAAAGATTTCCCATTTTCCATACTCGTAAGTGTCTCTTTTCACCTCTGATAATTGCCTTTTTTACTTTGGTATGCGCCCTTTCCTTTCTCATAATGTCCCCTTTTCCTTTTGATAAGCGCCTTCTTTCATCTCCGGTATTCTTCTCACTTCTGATAAGTGCCCTATTTTCCTTTTTCCATAACACGTGCCCCTAATTTAAATCGACCAAGAGCAACTTTTTCTTTAATTTCCGCCAAGGCTCGCTCGGTACTCTCGCCTGCATGAAAAAAATATATATAGTTGATAAAATCATGTTACTTATTAAAGGTCTTTACAATCCTTCATGATTAGATTGTGCTAATAACCTCATCAGGATTCTTTTTTTTTTGTGGTAATTTTTTGCACTGCGACCTTCAAGTTTGATGGCTCGAAGAATGAATTTTTAGACTATCACACCCAACTGGGAAAGTATCATGCATAAACAGTATCTTGGACCTGTAAAGAGAGAAACAAATATTGCAATCATTCCTGATAATCTAATCGCAATGTAGGGGTATATAAGGATGTCTGAAAATTTAATATTTTCGCTTTGAGGTTTCCGTTGTAAGTACCCCTTTTTTCTAGAAAGTGCCTTTTTTCGTTGGTGCCCCCTCACTTTGGAAGACTTTCCAACGCCCCTGATTGTTTTTAATGCATAATAGGCCCTCTTCAACCCCCTATCATAGGCAAGAACCTCAATTGGAAATATTACTCCATACTGAAATAGGGCTATTGAATTTGAATTTATTGAAATAACATCGTCACAAGGTATAATGACATTTTGTTACAGATAATTAATACAAATTAAGTAATCACGGCATTTCTTTCTTTTTTTCTTCACCTTACAAAGTTTTTACATTTCTCCACAAACAGATATAACACATCTTTTATATTCAATAATATTACAAATAACTATTAAACGTCCAAGTTTCATTTTGCACATAGTTTCCAAAATTCTGCTCTTACAGATATAAAACTTCTCATATTCAATAAAATTACAAATAACGCTATTATCGTCTAGTTTCATCATAATTGCAAATCTTTGTTCATTGTTCACATTCTTAAATTCGTTATCAATGATACTATTTTTTCTAAACAGCATTTTTCCTCTGGGGACTATTACAATCCATGTTGGTTTGATATCCGTCTCCAATTTCACCACTATTAAAATCATAGCAGGAATACGTAAATGTGTTGGTAATTTGTTTGGGCGTCTATGCCTTCTATTTCCAATGGGTAAATTAGTGTGAACTTATTCTAAACCGGCAAATATTTTTCGGTCATTTATTACTTTTTACAAAAGTTAAATAGTTCTCTTGTTTTATGTTTTGCTTAAAAAATCTACATGTTTGGAATTTATTTTTCTTCTTTACGTACACGTAATCACTAATTAAATCATTATAATTGAGAATCACATATTTCTCAAAGTTTAATATCTGTTTGATTTATAGATTTTGCTAACATTTCTCTATTTTCATGAAAAGAAGGATATAACAAAGATTTTTCATCAACACTTTTCTTGCGAATTCAATCTTTCATGAAATGTTTACACATGTCTATTATTATACAAGTTCTCCAGCTTCAGCCAACACAGTCAATTAACTATTCTGTTTATTTATCCCAAATGTATGTCTTATTCATTGAAAATGAACACTTTCCATAAATAATCGAAAGATTACCCTTTTAAATCTCTCACCCAGAGTTATTAATGTTTTTACTCAATGAATCATATGTAGAACGAGCAGGACCTAAATAATAACCTGCCGGCTTTACCATTTAAATTTCCAAACCATTTATGTTGAAGTTATGTTGTTTCAACAAATTTCCATTCTTATTACAAATCAACGTTTTCATTTTCTTAATATCTACTTCGAGTAGCCATTTCTTATTGTAATTCCCAAGTCTGCATTCCGTTTTTAGTTTTGGATATTAGTACAGTATCATCCGTGTACATCAAACAATTCACTATAGTCCCATTCAATTTTACTGGATCAGTACCAGGCCAACAAGGTTAAGGACCATACGGTTTAATTTCATAATTGCACCAAGCCAGTTGATGCTACAACATGTGAGAGATCTTAGACAATCATGCCCACAAGAACAAACAGGACAATCTGGAAAATCAGGACAACAAGGCCAGTCGGGAGAATCGGGGCAACGAGGACAATACGATGGAGTAAAAACTAACATCAGCATCAGTTTTTAGTTGATTACAAGTGATGCATTTGGGGAATAGTCTACAAAATTGGTAGCTGTGGCATTGTTATAAACTCTAGGAGATAAGGGGATTTGATCATAATTTGCGGTAGGGAGTGAATGTGTAAATAGCTTCTACTGCGAAGTTTTTCGCTTGTAAAATGTAGACCCCCAGAATATAAACTTGTTCTTCCTAAAACATTATATACTTAAACAAAGAAAAAAAATAATAGAAAATAAACCATACACCACAATATTTATTTACATTATATACAGATGGAATATACCGATACAGATACCGCACGAGAAATATATGAATTACGTTTTACAAAATGTATTCGAATGTATAGAAGTTTTGCTTCGTAACGGACTATTACTTCACCTCTTATATATCATTGAATTTCAATTGTCAGAATGCAATTGCATAAGGAAGTGTTGCTAGGTAGGACAAAATACTATTAATTGCCCCAACTAACAAAACGTATTGTAATCAATTTGCATTTTGACTTTTGAGAAACAAATATTCGTAACAGTGGAATGAAATAATTGACAAGTAGGCACTTACAAATATATAATTCATTACGAAAATGGACTAATAAACTCACTCAAAGGCCTACGTACCCATTGGTGGAGTATGTATTGTAAAGAAAAGAAAGAATGAAACGTATAAGGCGCTATCTTGTTTTTTAAACGGCTGGTTTATATTGCAGAATATTTGTGAGGCACCGCAAATATTAGAAATCGTTATATTCATGGATATTTGAGCCGTCTCTGAACCGATTTTGATCAAACAAGGATAAAATGTCATTTGAATTGTATCTTCTTATAACTTTGACACTCAGTTTTTCATTATCTCACAAAGATTTTTTTGTTTAACGCCCTAGGCAACGAAACTCAACTATCCCTTTAAAACGTAGCCCTCAGTGATCTTGAGATTATGCTGTCGATGTGTTTTGAATTTGAATTTATCTAGATAAAATCGTCACATGGCATCATTAAATTTTGTTACAGATATTTAAACCAAAAAGTTATCATAGCATTTTTCCCCCCCACCTATATAAAAAAAAATCACATTTCTCCACATAAAGATATAAAACATTTTTTATATAGGCCTATTCAATAATATTACAAATAGCTTTATAAATGTCTAGTTTCATTATGCACAAAGTATTTAAAATTCTCCTCTTACAGTTATAACACATCTTTCATATTCAATAAAATTACACATAACATTATTATCGTCTAGTATTAGGCTGATCAAAGTGCACGCACAGATTGTCTGCCACACATTGTGTACACTGCTAAAATCAGACTATTTACAACTCAAGATTATTATAATTAGGCTAGTCTTGTTTTTCCTGGCCACCTTGTACATAGTGCAGTAGGGCTTTTGTTACAATAAAATGTTTATAACGACGCTGTTCTAATACAAAGTTTCTATATAATGATGACAAGAAACTTACTCTGTACTGTGTTAGTTTCGACATCTCTATTGATGCAATTTATCCACTAGTGAAAAATTAGCTTCAACGTAAGGGTGGGGGGGGGGGGGGGTAAATACATGTACATTACAGTAGCTGTTGTCTATACAAAAATTAAAACATAATGATTATTTTTTACTTTTAAAGATTCACAATATACTTTTACTTGTTTATATTTAATACATATATATGATACAATTTGTTTACAATATATAAAGATTCAAAGACCATAGCGAGTCTTAATTAGTATAAAAAAGTTAAATTTTAAATAATCACTCTGAATATTATATGAACTGAGTGAGATATTAGCTTTAACAAAATTGGAACAATTTATATTGAGAACTTACACATAACGCACTACTTATCTATACACTTGTTTTGTTTAGCAAGAACACATAAAGATTTTTTTTAAAAATAAAATTCTGCATATTTTCAACGTGCAAACTATGACATTAGTGAAATAGATGTTCACTTGTCTATACGTCATCTTGGTCATCTTTCCTGGCAGCCTGGTACGATGCATTCTTCCTACACCTGTTTTGTAATCATATTAAAAAAAGTGTCGTGAGGTATCCAGAGAGAAATGACTATTTCAAAATAAATCAATTAAATATGTAATGTAATCTTCAAATTGGCTAGGTTTGTAACTTGAGTTTTTACATTAAAAAAATTAAGTTTAAACAATATTCATCCTAATTTTTTTATAAATGAAGAGCTTGATTCCAAAAGGAGCTAAATCCATATTTTATCAAAACTGAGTTTTTTGTCTTAAAATAATGGTTTCCCACATGGGAACAAAATGCACTATATCGCATTTTAAAATTTCACAAGGAAGTATGAATTGTTTTAGTTACAATATCATGTTTCATTCCAAAAGGAGCTAAATCCAAATTGGTTTCATTCCAAAAGGAGCTAAATCCACTTTGGGTAAATCAACTTTTTTGTTTCTCCCTTTTCCCTTCAGCCATGTACCTTTATGTTGCTATTTATGTTAAAGGTGTCGTCCTTGACCAATAATATATGATAAGAAAAAAATCTACCAGTTATTTCTGATTTTTTACTAAATTATTAAAATTTTTGGATTTAGCTCCTTTTGGAGTAAAACATGGATTTAGCTCCTTTTGGAATGAAACGGATTTAGCTCCTTTTGGAATGAAACTGTGATATATTGTTTACTTTCTTTGCAAAAGGTAATTTTAGATGTGATTTCACTGTTATCATTTAAAAGGAAAGGTTTGCAACTAAATTTAAATAAATTTCAGTGACTTTATTGAGAAAATATTCTAAAATTTCACAAATTTTAGGTACAATATCATGTTTCATTCCAAAAGGAGCTAAATCCACGAAAAATACAAATCTAAAAATTAATACAAAATCAGAAACAACTTCTAGATTTTTTTCAATCATATATTATTGGTCAAGGTTGACACCTTTAACATATATAACAGCATGAAGGTACATGGTTGAAGGGAAAGTGGAGAAATAAAAAAAGGCGATTTACTCAGAATTACCCGAAGTGGATTTAGCTCCTTTTGGAATGAAACTCTTCAAATATGGCTACGTTTTTCGTTTTTCCCTGAAAAAAAGCTCATTGTTGTCATCATGGTCATGAGATGAATCAATAGTTGGTATGTCACATTTACTTTGAACATTAAGAGAAAATTTGAAAGCCGTAAGGTTCAGAATTGCATCGTCACTTTCAATGACTTGGGTGTTACAACATGGCACCTGATTTGAAAAGTATTAAACCTTGATTGAATGGTCATATCGGTTTGTATCCTTTGGGGAAACAGTGCGAGCATGCAAATATTATCATTACTTTTACAGTCCTAGAAGTCCTGAAAATTAAAAAGCGACACTTGCCTCTTATAGTAATATGCGACTCCCAGAAGACAAATGATAATCCCAATTATCAAAATGCAGACGATCGTAATGACGATCATGGAACGGTTTGATACCTCCGGTTTGCTGTCGGTTGGGACGGCATTCTCCTCTTCGATAGGCAGGGTAATGTTCGCGATAGAGATGGCCTTTGAAGTAGCGTTTATGAGATAGGATGCTATGGCTGCACGGCCATTCAAAATGGCGTCTAAGAGGAGATCCTGAGAGATGTAAATGGGCTCAGCTGAATTATGAAAAAAAAAAAGAGAATTGGTATAGATTTCTCTTTGAATTTGTGACTGAGTTTGTAGTTGTCTGGGAAGCAGAGGTAAACAGAGATAGAGGAATACAAAAGTAATACGTGTATTAGCATGCAAAGTAATGGAAATAGTTGTCCTCGTTGAATTTATAAACACAGTCCTTTAGCATGTTCCGTTTTTTTCCTTTCCAATAAAAGAATAAGATTAAGACATTTTGTAGACGTATCTTTTAGTTTCGGGGGGAAAAAAGAGAATGTTGAGTTCTGGGGAGAGTTGAACAGTATGTTGTGAGCATTGTCATATTTATTATGCAAGTGTGGGAGAACATCAGATAAAAAATGTTCCCTAAAAAAAGCATGGCTCTTCAAATGCCTTCATATTCTAAATGTGACATGTAGCAGCCTAAAAATGAGGACCACATTCTTATGCTGCATGTTCGTGTAGTCCCATATAATAAGGGATAGATCAACGTCGATCTGGTGCTGCTCAGTTGCTGCCGGGCTCACGATCAATTGGGCAAAAAGAATTTCCGTTTCGGTTTAATAAAATTTGGAGTGGACTATTAGATTATTATTATTATTATTATTATTATTATTATTATATAAATCTATCGTTGTACAGTGCTTGTTACTTTTACCAAGTCTGCGCCAAATTTCCTATCATTTGGATGATTCCGGAAGCTTGCAGTACAAACCAATACGTATATGCTACATGTATATGATCAACTTTTTCTGATACGATTCGGCACGGTTTCTCCCCCAATGCAGTTGCATGACCAGAACTCAACTTTATTTTTAAATGAACTCATTTCTTAGAAAGGCAGTGAGTTTGATCCATAGGCATGGTGTAAAGGATTGAAAGGATTTGAATTCCAGTCTGTTAAAGTATTTGAGATTGAGAAAGGAAAAAAACTGAGTGAACACGATGTGGTCTGTTGCTTAAAGAGTGAGGAGAGGTAGGTAGGAAGTGTGGTTGACATCGCTTTAAAAACTTGAACAAGTATCCAGCATTGTATTACCTCAGTAATTAGAAGCTAGTGTAGTTTGCTAAACAATGGGGTTGCTTACTAATACTACCAAGCCAGCATCCACCATAGTCAAGCCCGGAGAAAACAAGTGCTTTGAAAATATCATGACATGTATGTCGATCCAAGTACCCTCTGATACGATTGAGATTTTTTTTTAAATGCCGGTTTAGGGTACGACGTAAGCAGGTGACATGGTCGGACATTCTGATTTTTCTATTAGACAATGCACCCAAGCTCAGGATTGTGAAAGAAATGTATATTTGTTGAGTATCAATTGAGAAAGAAATGACAATGAGCCGACTCAGATGGTTTGGTGATGTAGCAGATAAATTTTGCTTGGTTATATACTTGGGTAGCTTCAACCTGAAATCGTAATTTCCTGGTTCGCCAAAATAGCTATAAGTTTTCAACGTTGTCATAATAGTCAGATGTTAGGTTATCACAAAATAATTTACAGATTATAGTGTTAGCTTAGAATAATCACATATACTCATGAATACACATTAAGAGATATTGTAAAAGGGGAAAACACAAAGCAGCGGGCTGCACATGACTATTTCTCTTCGCAACTCCTCGCCACAATGGTCAGTCCTGCACACAGTTTAGCACAAGCTTGTAGGGAGAACCGAGCCATTTAATTGATGGCTCTAAATAGAGCAATTAAGCCATTGTTTTTTAATGTTCGTATGCATGTAAATATGCCTTTATACCGAAAACAAAACAAGTCAAAAATACACGTCTGATCACTTTTGTCATCCATGTGTTTTATTAAGAAAAGAAACCCTTTGTTTTGATATCACCCATCTAGTACCTTTTTTTTAAAGACATTTTTTGATTAAGTTGCCACCATCAAATAACGGATACTGACCGGATCGTCTCTGGACGTTGGAATGATCTCCTCGTCTCCATCGGGACAGTGGACCCGAAGCATCTGAGCATACATCAGGGCCAGCAGGTTTAAGAGCATAGACAATAAAAGAGCATGTGTATAGTTGGTCATCGTCTTCTTCTTTTCCTTCGATTACAGGATACCCATCAGCAATCTTCACATCGTCTACCGTTACAAACTGGATTCGTAGAGATTTACTGTAAAGTAAGAGAGTATGAGGTCTTAAAAGTATTGTTTGTTACCGTTCTTTATCGGGATGGATGTGCATTTATCTTAATAGTGAATAACGAATCCTGAAATTCGTTTTAGATCTACGACAGGAGAATATGAGACTACATTATGCGGTGATAAAAATCAAACTCAATCAGCTGCAATATCCAACTGTATATTCACCTCAAAATCTGTCCTCTTCCGGGACAGCATGTATCGAAATTGTTGGTGCAGAAGAGATTCAGCTGCTCTGTCACAGATGCAAGTAGAGGCTCAGCACTATCCTGCCACTTTACGATGATTTAAAGTTAGGGAAGAAAATACGGAATTAAAAAGAAAAATTCCTTTTTGTGATTGTTTACGAAATACATAAATATTTTTTCCTCATTTAGAGAATCTATTTCACATTTAAATCTTACAAATTAATATAACATTACTCATACAAAAAAAAAGAACAACATCAAATATTAATACACATATCAGTCAAATTTTAAAATTTACTTCAACATTTCCTTGGATGATTCATGTTTTCGTTTTGTTTGTACTATTTCATTTCTGCTAACTTGTATTTCTATTCCTTTTCTGGATTCTCTTTGAATCACATATTTCCATACAGAATCTATTTTACCTTTTTTTTTATAGATTTGTTGCGTTCCAAAATAACTTTCTCTAAACTCCTATTTCTATTTTTAGTAAGTGCAAAATGCCCATCTGGGTTGTTGGCACATTGTGAACATCTTACAGTATAACTTCCACATGCATACATAGATTATGAACTTTATCTGAAAACGTTCAGAAATAATACCTCATCTTGGTTCCCTCGAAGATCGACCTGGACACCGTTCTTGAGCTGTGACTTCACATCTAATTCAGATAAAGCGATATGTATTAACGGTACTATGTCCCTTTTGCAGCCAACCTCAAATTCTGTAGAACTTTGCAGGAATTATGAATATGTAATGTATGTCCTATCTGTGAAATTTAAATGTTAGCAGTTTCCTAATATTCAAATTATGCAAGGAAACCTATTTACTAGCTAGACTTCACTTTTAGACACTATGAGTGACTGACTGGCTATTTTTTTTCTTTGATATTAACATACATAAAATGAGCTGTAAAGGGTACATGAGCATTTGTCTACATCAATAACCCACTTCTTGTGATGGCCAAAATTAAACTGATTGAATTTTTGCGCAGCATAAAACGTATGACCATTCAGTGCAATGGTCTGAAAATCAAGACTATTACTTATTGGCTCTATAGCTCCTTAGTCAATTTGACAACTAATAGTTGTTATTTTCCTACTTGAAGACGTTTTCAAACACCAACTTTTTTAGGGAAGTTCTAAATTAGTATTATCTTTCAAATGCCGTTGGAATTTAACCTTTTCATATTTTCTTCAACATTTTAGAATAATTTAGGCCTGAAATCGAGGAACAGCGTACTGTTTATTATTCAAATGACTGTGAATCTCCTATGAAAGCAACAAATATTAATATGAAGTTTAAATGAAATCATTTCCGAAAATAAACGTTTTATGATTGAACATTAATGTTCGTTTAGCAATGCATTGAATCCTTCTCTACAGACAACAGAACAAATCTATTTTCTATAGTAAAGAAAGGATGCTGTTGTGACCATCACGTACATTCGCAATATTCTCCCGGGAACTCATCGGAGCAGGAACATAAGCATCTCCTTTCGTCCAAAGTCCCGCCATTGTAACACACCATACTATCACATGGACCTGGTTTGGGCGGTGGAGATGTAGGGATGACCCTCCTGAAAGTCGCCTTAACTACATTTGAAACTGGACTCGTCAGACCCGCGTCATCAGATGCTTGCAGAGCAAAGGCATACGAGAATGTTGTAACTGCTGTGACGTCAGGAACCGTTATGACGTATTCTTCTAGGGATCCAAAGGGTTTTGGGCTGGACACATTCCCTTCCAGGATTTGATTGAATTCAAGCTGAGTTGCGTTTGAGAAATTGGCCAGAAGTAGTGCAGGGGAGTGAGATATTCTGATGTCATAACTCATGGCTTTGAAATGCAATGGAAAAGACAGAGTAAGTGATGAGTACATCTGTGCTTTAAGGTCAACTATAATGCAGATTTGCTATGATAATAATCAAATTTGTATAGCGCATAACAGTAAGTTTATACGCGCTTTACATTGTAATTATTATTACTCCGGGCATTGGACTCAATTGCTTATCTGCTCATAGAAGTGCACACTCTCTACTCCCTGGGGAGCATTCAGGCCAGGCCCCATTTTACAAGCGAACACATGCCAATCCAACCTCATTAACGTTCACATCATACCGGGTACCCATTTAACACCTGGGTGTACAGTGGCAATTATCAGATCAGATAAATGTCTTGCTAAAGGGCTTTAGTGCCGGGGTGGGACTTGAATCACAAACCATGTGATTCACAGTCCGGTGATATATCCACTAGACCTGGACACCTCTATAGTATTGACATCGCATTGACCATTCTCTAAGTAACCTCAGTTTGCCCTAAGAAATGTAAATTTGCGGATATAACAGCAACCACCACCTATCACAATCCTATGTATTTCAAATGCCATCATTGGTTCATTGAGCAGGCTAAAAAAGTAATCTTATATGCTAATATAAACACCTCTTGGAACGTAGATGCTATTGCTCACAGTAGCTTTGCAGATTATCATTGAATGATCTCACAATAAAAAAAAATTGTTTTTCACTTTAGTAGTCAAATCTGGGATATATCTTAAAGAGCTGCTATATTTTACAATGAAGGGTTTTGTTTCGATATTTATAAAAAAATGTTGAATAGTTTTAATTTCGAAATATTTATCAGTATCTTTGTTGCAGCTGTTGTTATTAGTTAGTAAATAATAAGTAATAGCCAAATGATATCATCTATAAAGCACTTACCAGTTCCCGTGTCTAGATCATCACCTGGTGCGGTCCAGGTCAGAACCACTGAAGATTCATTGAGAGATGTAAGTTTAACCCGCAGGTCCTGGACCCGGTTCGGTGGGAACAGGTCTTGTCCTGGTGTAAAGCCTTGTGGAAGACTTGGTACATTGGTCGAACCAGCTGACGAGCTTCTCGTAAAAGGTGCCGCTTTCTCAAACACCAAGCTGTCAAAGACTTGATCTCCGGGTAGACGAATAGTATAGTTTCCTTCAGTAGAACAAAACAAAAGATGTATCATGTGAATTCGGCTTACTTCATAAGTCAATCAAGAAGTTTTAAATCAAACAAATACAAAACATATTAGGTTGGCCTTTACTCATTCTAGGAGCTTCATATTCAAATTGTCCTCATTAAATTTCACAATATTCTACCATTTATTCCCCAAAATTTGAAAGAAATACGAAATATGTAAACTATGTCTAAATACATCATAATAGTTTTGGACGAAGAGTAATGCCTCGTACAGGAACCTTGCTATATTTGTTTCATTTTGATTTAGAACCGGTATCACTTCACTTTATTCCCTTAGTTATAATGGTCGCTTCTTTTACATTACATCGCAGGAAAGCAATTACTTATTTTAGAGCTTTAGAGCTTTAGAGCTAGTCCAAAATAGCCTTCCAGAAATCAGCTCATAGAAATTCCAACACCATGATGTTCGGATTACGCGATTCGTCATCATATTGTTTAATTCAATTTAATTCAATTTTATTTCATTCAGTTAAAAAGACAACATTTCATAAAACAAACAGCTATATAACATAAAATACACATTAAGAACATATTTGACATTTGGACATATGTTCGCACATTTCAGTAAATGATGAGCATGGCTACTGAACTTGCCTTCGTCTGATTTGTCCATGGTAGTGGGGACTACTTTTTATAGTGATATATAAGGCTATACTGTTAGGTCAGGAATATCAAGTCTCAAATGGCAATTTCTTTGTTTTCTGGAGATATAATTTGAAGTTCATTTCATAGTCAAATGAATCCGACGTCTTCCGCCATTGCATATTTCTCGTAAATCACAATTCTTATTAAATAAGAATTGTGAAATGCCACAGGTGCGCGTTTTGGATGAAGCAGAATATATTTATTTCCTAGAGATGTGTGTGTGTGTGTGTCATACCTATAGATCCGTCTGATACCACCTGTCCGTCTTCCGTGATATTTATAAAAGCTGGTGCCTGAGACCCTGTTTTTCCTTTCAAGATCAAAGCGCTGCCATCATTCTCTGCTGTGATGCCGATACCATAGAAGCCTTCTCCAGTGTAGTTAAGAAATGATCGTGTATACACTCCATCATTTGCAGTCACATCAGCCCCTTAATGCAAAACAGATTTAAAAATCAGATTGATCTATTTTAAACCATGGCATATTGATAACATTTCTAGGAAATACTACAAAATTGATAGACACGTCTGCACATCCAGGGATGCGGATCTAAGAAGAATGGAAGAACCTATACAGAAGGTATATGTTGACGTAAAAATTAAACAGTCCGGGAACGTTGCAATGCATTCGGTCCTTCTTTTCTCCTTTTCTCCAACTTCTTGATGCTCATCCTAATTATTAAAGGAACGAAAAAGGAATTACGGTTGTCACTTTACCTGCACCATTGTCTAGGAGATCATATGTTACAGCAACACCCCCAGGTCTTTCCACTGTGGCTCGTACGGTTGCATTGATGACAGGGGAAGAGCCTTTCATGACTTCAGCATATGTGACCAGTGCTTTTATGTCTTCAGATTGGTTCAGGACCGAGTCACTGATGTATGACTTGACAGATATAACGCTTCCATCTTGCACTTCATTATTAGGTCGGGAATAGACCGAAAAGGTGACGGAATGTGTTCCGGGAAACGTGTTAGTGATTTCATAAAACCATTTGCCAATCTATGTGAAGAAAGAGAGAGAGAGAGAGAGAAAGATAAGGTATGAGTAGTTTTTTTCGAGGAAATGTCGGTGTTTCAGACTAGCGCGAGGTGACTAACATTTATTTATGTAATTACCAACTTCTTAAATGCTTTTTGCAATGACGAAATCGTCATTGCCTTGTTTTCGTTCACATTCTTCCCATTAATATTCTTCTTCTTCCTTGTTATCGTCGTTTTGCACATAGCGTTTGTTATTCCTAGTTAGGTGCTTTTCTCATATCCATTTCCTTTCAAATTTCATAGGCATAGTTTCTAGCATCTCATCAAGGTCACTACATTCTTCGATTTTCGAAATCACTCATGCATAACCATCCAGGCTCCATTTTGTCCGTTTCTGATCCATTTTAAGGCGTTACTTTCTTCCTTCCTATCTCTACTATCCTAGATCCTACAAACTTCTAACAAATTCCTTTAGATAGTGTAAGAGATTTTCTTTCATCTGCGACACATAACCCGATCTTCAAAATGCCATCTTTGTACTCAAAATTCAAATCTGAAACCGACTCCGTCAAAAATCTCTCAAATTCTTTAAAAATGGACCCCTAAAAATCTAAAATTGTAATAACACTTTAATTTCGTCTCATTTTCTCGAAATATCTTTATCTCATAATTGCACATAGCCATGCCAAATTTCACGCTCCAATGGCTATGCAAAACATAAAGAGCGCCCTCTAAAGTTCTAGGAATGGGCTTTCTTTTTGTGGCCCGCGTATCTTCATTATGGCCTGGCAAACCCGTACCCTTTTTAGGATTTAGATACTTGAAGATATGCCCTTCCCAGCCATATACCAAATTAATATACCCTAACACTGACCAAATTTGAGAAAATTGCTCTCCAAATATGCAGGTTTCAAGAAAATTGCGAAAAAAGTTCAACTTTCTCTAAAATTACGATCCTTTGACCTACGTCAATGAAACTTTGCAGACACATGTATCCATATACGTGACAACTGTCTGCCATGCTTGGTTAATTTCAATGACGTCAGCGCAAAGTTATCGCCAAAAATGATGAATTTACTATGTATTACGTAATAGCGCGTTTAATGCGTGCAGTAGATTGCGCGCTGATGTTAATGGTGTCAAACTGACCGCAATGAAGTGCCCTTTCGAATGATATCAAGTATGTTCACTCAAAATATTGTGAGTTAATCGCATTTTAGACACCATATTATACTGTTTATGATTATGTTAGTATAGACGACCGTTAGTGCCATCGCCCGTCATTGTACGCATATCGTTGTGCCAAGATTGCAGGTCTAGTTTGATTTTAATTTCATTTATATTTTTAAAACGAGGGAACAATGGAAATGAAAGAGAATGTACATATAGAATTGTTGCTGCGGTGAAACAGTCATAACAGTATTACCTCTGCTCTGCCATTGATAAAAACGCTGATCACCTTTCTCTGGGCATCTTCGTTGTATTCAAAGCTGCCAGGAGATATGGTTTTCCCATTCGGCTGGGTGAGGGTTAGGATAACACCTAATAATGAAACAAATCATAATCATGATTTTGGAATATGTTAATAATTAAATGGCCATAGGGCATAATGCATAGGAAGATATTACGATGAATATGATGAACAGAAATTGAAACAAAATATGTTCAATAATTTGTTATCATCATTGTTACCATCATTATCTTAGCAGTCAGGTAAAATAACCACCATAACATCACAATGTGGTAAACAAACAAACTAAACTGTAATGAAGAGTGTGTACATTACCGGGTATGATATCTGAGCCGTGAGTGTAGGTTACAATAAACTGGGTTCCAGAGCCAATCGATGGATCAATATAAAAGTGTCCACTGGTCACCCCTCTTGTACCAAGCGTGAATCCTACGGAAGAAAGCTTCGGAGGACAGGGGTATGGGGTATTCATTTAACATTATGTCGCATGCGATAACGCAAATCTGATACATTGTTGCAATCTTCGTTAAAATAGGGGTTTTATGTGAGTAAGATTGAAACCAATTGAAATCTGTTCTCATTGTCGACCGATAAGACACCTATATAGTTAACAAATTGAACTTAATATATATTTTTGATAACATTTTTATTGTTGTTGTTCTGTTAATTATTAACGCCAATAAATGCTGGCTGTAAGAATGTTCCGTAGGCCTACTAATGCAAAAAACACGAGTTGAAAAATTAATATGCTAATTATTCATGGAACAATATGCCTTTAACATGCAGGTAAACGGAGCTCATTTCTTTTCAATGCCACACATGAACCCTCCAGAATAGCGTTATTTTGTTGTTGTTTTGTGACATTTACCTAGTTAGTTGCACGTAAAATGATTTTTTTTTTAAAATTCATACATACATATGGAACGGAATAATGCTATCCTTACTGATGTGATGATACTGGCAAGACCCCCCCCCCAAGAGGTTTACATTTATTTGTGTAATTCTTTAAGCAATATCGTTTTTACCGTTTTTATTTTCTCTAAACTAAGATAAACAAGTCAACGCAAAGCGTAGTATCCCCTCGCGTGGTACAAATGGCCTATATACGTCAGAACAAGTTACCTCCATAGGAATACCGGTATACTATTATATTACTAGGCAATGGAGTTAACCACATTTTGACATATATAATTAGGTGTTTTTGCATATTTAATGAGCTATAACCTTTCACCTTTGACCTACATACTCATAAATCAAACTTAGGCTGTACATGTGTTTTGATACCATGAACTTTCTTATCAAATTTCATAAAAATCCGTCAAACAATACTAAAGTTATGGATTGGAAACCAGATTCGCATATCTAAAGAGCTATGGCCTTTGACCTACAAACTCGGAAATTGATCCTAGGCTGTGTTTTGATACCATGTACCTTCATATCAAATTTCATTAAAATTCGTCAAACATTACTGAAGTTATCAATCGGAAACCAGATGTGCATTTTTCGCATATTTAATGAGCTATGACCTTTGACCTTTGAACTACGTACTCCAAAATCGAACTTAGCCTGTATTTTGATATCATGAACCTTCATATCAAATTTCATTAAAATCCGTCAAACAATACTAAAGTTGTGGATCGGAAACAAGATTGCGTATTTAATGAGCTAAGACCTTTGACCTACATACTCCGAAATCAATCTTTGGCTGTGTTTTGATACCATAAACCTTTATATCAAATTTCATTAAAATCCGTCAAACAATAGTAAAGTTATGGATCGGAAACCAGATTCGCATATTTAAAGACCCAAGACCTCTGACCTACAAACTCGGAAATTGAACTTAGGCTGTGTTTTGATACCATGTATCTTCATATCAAATTCACTAAAATCCGTCAAACATTACTGAAGTTAACGATCGGAAACCAGATGTGTATTTTTCGGATATTTAATGAGCTTTAACCTTTGATTTTTGACCTACGTACATCAAAATCGAACTTATCCTGTATTTTGATATCATGTACCTTCATATCAAATTTCATTAAAATCCGTCAAACATTACTGAATTTATCGATCGGAAACCAAATTTGTTACGGACGCACGGAAGGACGCACGGAAGGACAGATGGCAGCGTTACTATATCCCCTCCGACTTCGTCGGCGAGGGGATAATTACTAGTAAGCAGAATGGTCACTCCTTTTGTATCCTTACTTGAACGCGTCCTTTCGAAGTATCCGTTCCCGAACATGTCTCAGCAGTTTGAGTTAGAGCAGTGATAAGTTCAGCTCTGCCATCATTATCGCGATAAGAGAAGCCTAATCCTCCTGAGATGGAAATTGATAAAAGAGTGCATCACTAGCATTTATGCTAAAAGGATGTTTAGTCAGAAAAATATAAAATACACACGCACATACATACGTACACATACATGCACACCTCACCCTATTCAGTAGTTCTCACTTGTATCAACAAGGACCAACTACGTCATGGGATTGTAAAATATTGTTTATTTTAACCGGTATATGTTCAGCATTACTATAAGCTGATATAACTTTTCATTGTTATGCCTGTCGGACGATAAGATTGAAATTCGAACACAGGTCGCAGTAGAGGGCCTAGAGGCAGAAGGTTGACCATTACATCGCCCGAATAGATTCCATAACCTAAGACTCATGAGTAAGAGAGTATCAGTCCGGAAAGCATGCCTCCCTCCTGATAAGGCTCCGAGAAAAAAACTCGCTTAGATTTTCTATCCTTACTCGAGGCTATGTTTGTTTGTTTCTTTTTCGACATTGGGTGGCCATCCCCCCCCCCCCCCCCTCTTGGATGTGCCTTCGATGCAAACATGGACCTACATGATGCAAAGCACCTTACCTGTTTCTAAAGAAACGGTGTTGAGTTTACCGTACGCATCATCTCCTATAGCTACAGTGTTGATCCTCACTCCTTCTTCTATGGCAGTCTGCCGAGCAGGATGAGTAGCAAAGCCTGCATCTTCCCCATCAGTCATTAATAGTATGTCTGCTCCGCTAAGTATCCCGGAGGGATGTTCTCCCAACACCTGGATGATTTTGTTGGAGTTTTAAAAAAAAAGTCTTCTAAATTCCTTTTTTTTGCGGTATTGATGTTTTAAAAATACCACCTATGATTTATGTTGACAATTTCCGAATCATTTGAGAGGATGATAACCCGCTACTTCTAGATATATATATATATATATATATATGTATGTCAATAAACTTTTTGTGTAATTATTTTGTCGTTGCAGTAATGTTTGCAGTAGTTCTGTCTATATTAAGCTGTACTCTACACCATGATTTACCTTACTACATAAAATTTAATCCTCGACAAAGATAAGTTTAAAATAACAACCATTTTCCCGGTCAAAAGCCAATTTTTTCTTTGATCAAATCGTACACCCCCTATGGCATGCCCGTTTAACTCTATAGAAGCCATAAAGAAGAAAAAACAAGAAGAAGAACAAAAAGAAGAAGAAAAAGAAAAAGAAAAAAGAAGAAGAAGAAGAAGAATAAGAAGAAAAAGAAAAAGGAAAAGAAGAAGAAAAAAGGAGGAGGAGAAAAAGAAGAAGTAGTAAAAGAAGAGGAAGTAGTAAAAGAAGAAGAAGACAAAGAAGAAGAAGAAGAAGAAGAAGAAGAAGAGGAAGTAGTAAAAGAAGAAGAAGACAAAGAAGAAGAAGAAGAAGAAGAAGACGAAAAAGAAGAAGAAGAAGAAGAAGACGAAGAAGAAGAAGGAGAAGAAGAAGAAGAAGAAGACGAAGAAGAAGACGACGAAGAAGAAGAAGACGAAGAAGAAGAAGAAGAAGAAGAAGAAGAAGAAGAAGAAGAAGAAGAAAAAGACGAAGAAGAAGAAGAAGACGAAGAAGAAGAAGAAGAAGAAGAATAAGAAGAAGATGACGAAGGAGAAGAAGAAGAAGAAGAAGAAGACGAAGAAGAAGAAGAAGACGAAGAAGAAGAAGGAGAAGAAGAGGAAGAAGAAGACGAAGAAGAAGAAGAAGACGAAGAAGAAGAAGAAGAAGACGAAGAAGAAGAAGAAGAAGAATAAGAAGAAGATGACGAAGGAGAAGAAGAAGAAGAAGAAGAAGATGACGAAGGAGAAGAAGCAGAAGAAGAATAAGAAGAAGATGACGAAGCAGAAGAAGAAGAAAAAGAAGAAGAAGAAGACGAAGAAGACGAAGAAGACGAAGAAGAAGACGAAGAAGAAGAAGAAGAAGATGACGAAGAAGAAGATGACGAAGGAGAAGGGAAAGGAGAAGAAGCAGAAGAAGAAGAAGAAGAAGAAAAAGAAAAAGAAAAAGAAAAAGAAAAGAAAAAGAAGAAGAACATATACCTGAAGTCCACTCTCTAGTCCACATCCTATACACGTGCCTCCATCTGCTGAGAAACTTAATGTGTCGCGTAAGGCAGATCTATCTGCTTGGGATGAGACTTGTATTAATCCATGCCTGATGGAGGTACTTGAAGTAAAAGTCACGATGCCAACCCATGTTTCTTCATTAACCAGATCGATGAAAGCGGTGGATGCACTGATAGCTTTCAGGATTCTGTCACTTGTCTGTAAACAAATATATTCATTGGATATACAATGAGCTGATGGCCCATCATTCGGCTATTAAGAAACAAGAATCGGTAGGTATGTCACTTGTTCCTGCCAAAATTGCCCGGCGTCAATTTTCTACACTAACTGAATTCTTAACTTAAAACCTGGACACAACCAACGGTGTCGATTTGTATCCGTGGTTGGGGGGGGGGGGGGGGGGTGATAAGTGCCAAAATATTTTCGGCAATGGATTAAAGCAACCAAGAGGTAGAAGCGTGTGGCAGGTTGCACCCCCTCCCTTCCAAGTTATTAACGTTTTCAAGTCACCCTCAATAAAGATGACATATGGGACCCATGTGGTTCCCACATGGGCTTGCTACCTGGGTTATTATCCTCTCAAACACGTAGCAAGGATTTTATTTAAGGGGGGAGGGGCGGTAGTGAGCACGCGAAGTGTGCGAATCTCTTACAGAGCGCGCTTCCTTGAGGAGTGGGTGCAGGGAAAGTTTCATTAAATTATTGGAGAAAGAAGACGATTCGTTGTACCGTTCTCGACTCTTAATTCTTGTTTGAATCAAGTTCCCCTTCCTCCGCGCGTAACGCGGAAGCTCTGACGTTTCATTAAATTATTAAAGAAAGAAGACGATTCGTTGTACCATTCTCGACTCTTAATCCTTGTCTGAATTCAGTTACCCCCCCCCCCCTCCGCCCGTGCGAAGCGCGGAAGCTTTGACGTTTCATTAAATTATTTAAAAAAGAAGACGATTCGTTTTACCATTATCGGCTCTTAACCCTTGTCTGAATTCAGTTCCCCCCTTCTACCCGTGCGAAGCGCGAAAGCTTTGACGTTTCATTACATTATTAGAGAAAGAAGACGATTCGTTGTACCATTCTCGACTCTTAATCATTTTTCTTTCTACGTCCTCTTTCTTCCGTATATTTATGGTCATCTTACGAGTAATAACTACCCCCCCCCCGGATCGACACCCATGGACACAACATTCCACTTAACCCTAATCCTGACCCTTTACTTTTTAAAAATGCAAATCTGACCCAAAATCTATGCCTGACGAATTAATGGCCGGAGTAATTGTCTCAGGAGCAAATATCGAATCACCTTTCACCGTATAATACACATACAAACATATGCACAATCAAAAAAAGACGCAAATGTATTAATATGGGACAATCCCACAGGACAACATTCAGTGAAAAATTTACCTCATTACATTTGCCATGGATCGAGTAAAAACTTCAAAAAATCATTGCAAGCCGACTTGGGCTTTCGGTCTTGGCCGTTGTTCTACAATTTTGTTTTAAATGTCAATTTAGGGGCTATCGGTTTTATGGATCTCCACATTTCTAAGACATAGGTTATACCTACATGATGGACTATAATGAAAGAACTTACATCCATGCTCCCTGATGTATCAATAACTATAACTATCCGACATTCATCTCTAATACGTGCTTGGGCCAGTGTGAATGACGGTAAGATATCAGCATCACTCAGATCCAATGGTGGGGAAATGTTGTCTGGTAATCATACATGAAAGAAAATTATATTTTTTTTTTATTAATCATAGTTAATTTCCCTGTTGTATAGATAATATTTTGTAAGTGATTTCAAGCTTCCAATTATCTATAAAGACTTGTTAATTGTTTGAATATGGAATAAACACCTCTGAATGAGGCAAAGAGAAAAATAATCTTTAAAGACTTGATGTAATTTTAACAGGAAAAATGCATCACGTTTTTATTTTGAAGGAATGACTTTAAAAATCCGAAGGCTTACATTGTGAAACGCGTTTATAAAAATGTACGTTATAACAGTTCAATATCAACGAAAAAACTATTTCACACTGTTAATTAAAAGAAGAAAAGAAGAAGAAAAGAAGAAGAAAAGAAAAAAAAGAAAAAAGAATACACTACTGTATATAAAATAATACGGCAATTTGAATAAAAGTCAAGTCAAGAATTACATGTACCTTTGAAATCTTCATGTTCCCTCATGACTTCCCATGCACTCCTTGAGTTACAAAGTCGATTGTGTTTATTTGGGGCTTCTCGGTTATGAAGGTTGTCAGGATCACTCTTGTCGTTATCACAAAAATGTTGTATCTTAGAAGAAGAAAAGAAGGATTCTATAGTAAATGAAAGAAAAATCGTACTGAAATTAAATTACCAAAAATATCATTCATCTATCACTTCGTGAATTGCGGATGAGTCGTAGTCAAGTAACTTTCTCCCTTGAATGGAGAGTCGAATGTCGTTGGGTCAAGCCCTAGATAAAGGCACTATGATTACATTGTGATTCGAACCCTCAACCCTTGCATTAAGACTCAAGTAAATGAACCAATTACCATTCATCTGTCCAAATGGATTCAGATGATGCATTCTTTATGTGTGTGATTGAAACCAATGTCCGATGAAAGAAATTATATATTTTTGAGGAGCTTCCCGTATATTTTTTCTTCATTATTATTATTTGTTAATATACGTAACCCCTAATCATAACATATAGTACGGAAATCTTAATCATGCCTTTCTCTTTCTCTTGGGTGAAAACCACGAATTAACACCTTGTAATTATATAGATGTATATAGCAACCAGTCTCGTTTTTTGAATTGTAATATTATACACAAATCTTATTTATAGGATTCGGAAATACATTTTCAATAAACTTTATTTTAGGTTTTTGATAACGAGAGTCAGACTCGACTAGCACATGTGCTACTTTGACTCTATTTTACCATCGATCACAAACTCATTGGTCATTTATTGTTTTACTCTTGACACTAAAATTACTTATAACTCTTTTAAAATATTTGTATAACGTTCATGTATATTGTTGTAGAACATGTATTTTTATTATTCATGTCATGAATTTATGTTATATTGACATTGTCATTGTACATTTATATATTTTTGTTACACCGGAGTGTTAATCCAAGATGTCTACCAAAAATGTCAATTCGTTGTGAAATATTATCAAGCAAAAAGAAGGAACATTATAATTTCTATTTTCAATTGAAATAAATTATATAGGAGAAATAAATAGAGAATACAATCATGATTTTGGAACTAGGGGATTAACATGGACATAATACACTTGTTAACATGAGCACATTATCTCTTATTCATTCTACCTCCATTTTTTCAGACTGTTTTCAAAACAATATCATGTGTGTCGATCATAGTTCTATAAAGCTTAAAGTCTTATGGTAATTTAAGCAATCTAAGCAACAATTTCTGAATTTTAGCGACAATCGTTCGCCTTTGCTGCTTTTTAATACTATTATGACGTGCAGTAACAAATTGAAATTTTAGAACTCGTGATAAATTCGGTTAACAGTTGATTCCACTTGGTTGATTCTATTGTTCGGGTTATTTAGCAGAACGAGATAGAAATTGACATTCTCATGGCTTACGACTTTGCATTAGTGTTCATCGTCTTTACAATGCTATTTGAACAATATTTGGTGACAATAGATGGCATTTCTATGTAGCGTCAAAAGCCGTCAAATAACGAAAAAATGGCACATAAAAAGATCCTCAGTACTGGGTCTGATTTAAAGGAAACTTAATTTGAACCCTGCCATATTCTGTCTCTCTCTCTCTGTGTCGCTCTCGTTTGTCATTTCCTTCAATTTCCCTCGCTTTCTTCATTCTTACCACGGAATATGTAATGTGTATGCACGTGTATGCCTCAATCATTAAGAATATACTCACTAATATCGCTGAAATGATTCTTCTCCTACCCCTTTTTCTTCATTTACTTCTCCTTAGTAGTTGTAGTTGTAGAAGTAGTAATAGCAGCAGTATCATAATAATCATTATTTTTATCATTGTTATATCTATTATTATAGTAAATATCGTAATTATAATCATTATTATAGTAAGTATGTGTTATTGTTATTATTCTTGTAGTTATTTGTATGCTTCTTCTTCTTATCATTATTATCGTATACACAATACGTCATGTGCCAAGAATTTATTGCTATGATACATCCAAGATGTCTACCAAAACTGTCAATTCGTTGTGAAATATTATCAAGCAAAAAGAAAGAACATTAGAATTTCTATTTTCAATTGAAATAAATTATATAGGAGAAATAAATAGAGAATACAATCATGATTTTGGAAGTAGGGGATTAACATGAACATAATACACTTGTTTACATTACCACATTATCTCTTATTCATTCTACCTCCAATTTTTTCAGACTGTTTTCAAAACAATATCATGTTTGTCGATCATAGTTCTATGAAACTTGATGTCTCATGGTAATTTAAGCAATCTAAGCAACAATTTCTGAATTTTAGCGACAATCGTTCGCCATTGCTGCTCTTTAATACTATTATGACGTGCAGTACCAAACTGAAATTTCAGAACTCATGATAAATTTGTTTAACAGTTTATTCCACTTGATTGATTCTATTGTTCGGGCTATTTAGCAGAACGAGATAGAAATTGACATTCTCATGGCTTACGACTTTGCGTTAGTAGTTGTTCATCGTCTCTACAATGCTATTTGAACAATATTTGGTGACAAAAGACGGAATTTCTCTGTAGCTTCAAAAGCCATCAGGTAACAAAAACATGGCAGATAAAAAGATCCTCAGTACTGGGTCTAATAATTTAAAGAACACTTAATTTGAACCCGGCCATATTCTCTCTCTCACTCGTTTGTCATTGTCTTCATTTCCCCTCGCTTACTTCATTCTTACCACGGAATATGTAATGTGTATGTGTAGGCCTAATTATGTTAATTAGGGTCAATGGTCAAATTGTCTCAATATATCTTCCATACATCCATAATGATCAAGGCTAAACAGTAGAAACTTGACAATGGATAGATCATAATGGGAGAAGCCTTTTATATAAAAATATGACATCGTGAAAATGCATTCTTCATTATGTAAATCATGAGCATACGTATTAAAGTCTAGTTATTATTATTATTATTATTATTAATATTATTATAATGGTGAATAAATTCAATTCAATTCGATTCTCTCTCTCTCTCTCCTCGCTCTCTCTCTCTCTCTCCCCTTTCTCTGTCTCTCTTCATCTATCTTTCTCTCTCTTTCTTTAATACCAAATTGAACAACATAGTTGATTTCAACATGCAGCAGGTAATAACTGACATCTCGAATTTATTTCTGTTTGCATAATTGCATTATCCTTGACGTTTAAAGGTTCTTTGTTATTCACTTATTGTACTTGAAAAAATGCAGAAATAAAATAAAATAAACTTCAATCGAATTCGGCTCATTTGAGCCGATAAATTGAACATAATATACCTGATCAAACTTAAGCAGTCCGTACATGATAGAGCCAGTGGATAATCCTGGTCCTGAGGTTATCGCCATGCACCCTTCTTCATATCCATCATCTTCATTCCCCTCACAACCTCGATAGTCGGAAGCGTCGTTACTTTCATCTTTGATAAGTGCCCTGGTGTAAATCCCTTGGTTACACCTAAATAAAAAGGCATCGGGTGGAAAGGTAGATCATGAAATCGAGATAAATCCCATTAGAATAAAGTAAAAAAATTAATAAAGTCTTGTCCTGTCTTAAAAATACAGCAAAAAAAAAAACACATCAGAGCGGCTATTGGCGTGCATCATCTTAATTGAAAAGTCATGCATCATCTTGACTTAATTGAATATTCTTGTATCAATGAAATATAAATAAGAGTACATCCAACACTCTGACAAAAAATTGCACTACGACGGTCGGTTATTTGTTTTGTTTTGTTTTGTTATTAATTTCTCATTGCTTACATTCCTTTCCTATCGAGTGTATTATGATATTTATTGAGTTTGAACATTTAAAAAAAATCAAAAAAAATCATGTTTTTTTTTTTTTTAATTGTTACTGTTCATTGGTATTTTAGAAACGGCTTGTATTGAATGAAACAATATTTTCTACTATTTTAGTTATTTAAATGCGTTTTATTAAATGCGACTTACGCCACGGGCTTCCATTTTTCATCTTCCATTGATTGGTAGTAATGGACTATATCCTTTTGGTCTCCCACGGGATCAGGATATTCATTGAAGAGCCCCCATCTAAGATGACCCCACTCATGTATCAGCACACGCCCTGAATTTAATACGTCAGTCAAAGATGTAACCAAGACTAATCCTCAGAAACAGTTATACAATACATGATTATTCGTTATTTGGTTAAGGGTTTTCATTCGAGTTCAAAGTACAAACTGTAATGATAGAAATGCTGTAACGAGAGAAATACTTGTATCAAATATGATAAAAGTGAGATTCGTTGTACATGATTAAGTACAATAGCATTTTGCAGGACTTAATTTTACTACTTTTTCCTTTATTTTGTTGGCCTTTTGAACATTCTGAACTTCAATACTTATAAAATATAAGTAACAGGCATTAGGTAATAACTAAATAGATGAAAATCCATTATTAAACGAGAGAGATACCTTCATTCGAACTCGATTATTTTTTTTAAAATAAAAAAATAGCTTTTCTGAAAGGTTTATTACCTAAGGGTCCAAAGGTATCCTTCGTTTCGGAGCTGGTTAAGAATTCTTCTATGAAATGAATGTAACTCCCTGGCTTTCCACATCCTTGCACCTGGTGTGTGTAAGGATTTGGCGCCCACAGAGAATTGGGTGGTGCAATTCTGACGTCGGCATCGTCAAAGGTCAATCGTCCTGGTGACCTGTACTCTGCTTTAGTTGACCAGGTAGATGGGATGATGATGGTGATGCTCTTGAAGTAGACACGTTTCCTTGTCGCCTGATATAAATATCCCGAACCATCAATGAACATGCGCTATAATATAAGAGAAGACAAAACACAACTTAGCCGCATGACCTACATTGAACTTCAAGTGCATGAATTAAACATTTTTTCAAATTTGGATAAGAAATTGGAAGGGACTAGTATTACTGTTGCGTCAAGGCTAAACAAAAATTAGATGAATATCATAATGAAATAAAGGATACCACATTCGATCAAGAGCAGACTGGACAAAATATGGGGAAAAGTACAATAAGTATTTCTTGAATTTAGAACGGCAACGTAATATTAAGTCTAGTATCCAAAAATTAACAGAGGGTAATAGCGATTTAGATAACGAAGAAGAGATTCTTGAGCAGATAAAATAATTTTTACGATATTCTATATTCAAAACAATCAGTAAATGTTCATGGCGAAAATGCTATGAAGTTCTTAAACGTAAACGGGAATTGCTTATTTAAAAAAGCAATGGAACTTTGCGAAGGCAAGCTGTCTAACGACGAGTGCTTTAAAGTGCTATGTGAAATGCCTTCCAGAAGGTTTCCTACCTAAAGAACTTTACGTTCACTTTTTGGGAACTTATCTCAGAATCATGGTTGCCCTCAATAATTTATATCTGCAATTTTCAAATAGTAACAAATTAAGCATGATTAAACAAACATTAAAACCGAATAAAGATAAGAGAAAGTTACAAAATTATCGACCCATTTCATTGCTTCATGTGGACGCCAAACTATGGTCCAAAGTCTTATCCGCAAGAGCACTTAATGTTTTGGATGAAATAATCCACCCCGATCAACATTGATTTATAGAAGGGAGGATAATAATTGAAGCTATACGCAATATAAATGATAAATTATATTATCTAAATACTGAATTATATCGGTAGACTTCCAGAAGGTATTTTATTCTGTCGACCATGACTATATTTACTGTGCGCCTGAACAGTTCGGTTTTGGCCCTTCTTTCATTAGATGGTTATATTGTGATATAGAAGGCTGTGTTCTAAATAATGAAACATCTACTGGGTATTTCCAAATAAGACGTGATGTAAGACTGGGGGGGGGGGGGTCCCTGTCTCAATTTTTTTTAATTTTTCTAGAAACTCTAGCAATTCGTTTCCGCGCTTCCAAAGATATAGCAGGAATTAAAATAATCGATAAAGAAATTAATTTGTCATTATATGCAGACGATTTTTGCTCCTTTTGCCACAATAATCGATCTATAAACACTTATTTGTTATACTTGGAACAATTTCATAAATGCTCAACTTTTCAATTCAATACAGAAAAAAAAAGAGATCCTAAAAGTCGGACACCAAAAGGATACTACTACCAAACCAATTGAACAAGATATAAAACAGATGGACGTAGTTGATACTATCAACCTTTTAGGAACATTTGTTGGATGTAACGAAACTCTTTTGCAAGATGAAAAATTACGTGAACTTATATCTGGACTTAAACATTTTTTGAATTTATGGAAATCAAGAAAACTAACTTTGTTTGGGAAGATACAAACTTTGGAAACATTTGGAATCTCTAATTTTACATATTTGTGTTCTTCAATTGTCATACCCAACAAAATATTAATGGAGATAGAAAATGCATGATATGACTACTTTTAAAATGGACCGGATCGAGTAAAACGAAACGTCATGATACAAAATATTAAATAATGGAGGTTCGAAAATAATAGACGTTAAGTAATTTGTAGACTAGCAACAACAATTTTGGGTCAACAACGTGAGGCCTGGAAATAGGCAGGTTGGTACCATGCCCTGAATTACTATGAAAAGAAATATGGTGAACTATTCCTGTTTAACTGCAATTGTGAAGTAAATAATATTTCTTTGAGTATGCCTGCATTTTATAGATTACTCTTAGAGAAGTGGCTTTCGATAACAATACTAACATACCAACTCTTAAGAACACAGATCGTATGAAATGGTGAATCGTTGTATCTACCGCGCTGAGCTCTCGGGGTGGGGAGTGGGAGGCGGAAACGGTTCATGGGGAAAAATCTAATTTATACAAGCCCTGAAAATTAAACATTGATTTCCTTTATTACATTTTACAAGATGCCATAGAAGCTTTAAAGTGGTTTTTTGTTTTAATTAAGTCACAACTCTGTAATATATCAAATAATATTGAATTTTGTGATGAGTACCAAATGAAATTTTCATTTGGGAAAAAAAAAAATACATCACACTTTGAGTTGCCAAACATTTTTGATGGATGATGATGAATGATAATATTGATCGATGAATGTTTTACCCGACTGCTAAGGAAGCATTTATATGTTTGTAGGTAAACAACCAGGGAACAAACGGCTTTAAAGGGCCCATACAAGTGTATTCCTGTTGGTGTGCAGTCCTGCATACATCTCATATTTTGATATGTAAACTTCTGAATTTGTTTCATAGATTTTTTAATATTTTTTGAAATATATGTTTTTAAAACTTGCTAAGCTCTACTCCAAAAACGTCAAGATCTCATTCCCCTTGCGACATGTCTGACATAGCAACGTTACGTGTTGCTGTTGTGTGTGGTATTGTAATAGGTGGTCAACTTTGGCAAAGTTACATGCCACTTTAAGTCCTCTCCGATGGTCTTTGTAATGAAGAGTAATGCCTTACCAAAAGGCACGAGAGCATTGACTTGGTTTCGAACCCGGGTCCTTCCGGTAACGAGACAACTGCTCTACCACTGAGCCATTGCGCCTCCTCAAAGGGTTATATAAGAAAGTGGTGTTACTTACCTGTATCGCCTGAACCAAGGCGTCATTCTCCTTCAGACTCTCATCAATAGCAACCACAATATCGGTATATCCGCCGTTCTCCAGCACAATAGATGACTGTGATATCATTGCTCCTACCTGCCTCATCACCATCAAAGATGCCAGACCAAAGATAAAAAAATGCAATTCAGCCTTGAATTTCATTTTGTATGGTTAATGTACCTTTCCACTGGCAGAATAATTCCAATTTTCCACCATGAAATCATGTTTTCTACGCTTATGCAGTATCCTCCGAATGCACGAATGTATCGGGACTTACAATAACATAAACACTGTTCCTCTCAATTGTTCGCAACGCCACTGTCAAGGAGTGTCCCGACGAATTTTTGCCATCCCATCATAATACACACTTCACCATCCCACCCTTATACAGACAGAACACACACATACAGACAGAACACACACATACACACACGCCAGCTCTGCCTAAAAGAGAAGTACCTTTTATTCAGAACAACATCCCAATGTTCGTGAAAAGCTATAGAACCTTATCATATCAGTGTTATCCGGGACCAGGCACGTACGCAGGGGGGTGTTTGGGGGGGGGGGTTAAACCCCCCTCTCTTTGGTATGTTTATGTGTATAAACCCCCCTAAAAAATAAAAAAAAATCCCATGGCTGACCTAAAAAAGGAGACCTTACCCCCCCCCCCCCCAACGGAGCAAAATGTCAAATTTTTAAATTTCGAGACAAAAAAAAAGAAAAAAAGTGTCCTCTTACCCCCCCCCCCGCTTATTCAGCGGCTGGCTGAGTCGATGCGAAATTTTCGGCCCGAAAAATGTTAACCCCTCCCCCCCCCCCCCCTTGAAAAAATCCTGCGTACGCGCCTGTCCAGGACAGTCACCGCGCACTACTTTTTTCCCCCCAAAAGAATCCCCAGGCTTCTTCATCCTTGGTTCACTCTAATACCATTCCAACTCTATTTTTAAAATTAATTTCCCCGCACCAGCATCCTTATCACTCCCCTTCTCTCTCTCTCTCTCTCTCTCTCTCTCTCTCTCTCTCTCTCCCTCTCCCCGTTTTTTTTAATCCGACTATTAAACATAGACGTATGATGATATGGTCATTTTGGCTCCTCCTATAAATCATACTTAACAAAATTAGACTCTCGAGGGAGCAGAGCGTGTGCATTTTCATTGTGTGGATTGTCAATTGAATCCAATGACTGGGGTAATGATAGTTTCAATGTAAAGCGCTTAGACAAGTACTATAAAGCGCTATACAAGAGTGACTATTATCATTATTATGTTTATTATGCATTCAGATTATTTAAATTGTATTATATTACATCAGAGTGCATTGTTTCATCATTACACTACTTCTATGTCTTTAGCCGAATGTATATGGGTAGGGGTAAGGGTAAGAGGGACGCAACTGTGTTGTAGGTAATGGTTAGGTATAATGTTGGCTACATATATCAGCAATCGAGATATCGGCTAGTGTATGAACAAAATGTTGTTATTAAATTATAGTGTGATATTTATGTTAGGGAACCTTAATTAAAGCTTTGCTTTGTCTGGTTTCCTACAGCTAGCATTTATGTATTTACCACTTGAATACGATAAATACCAGCTATATATTTTTTAATCCTCAACTGAATTAATGTCAACATTTAATATCATTCTTAAATGTTGATTTTTTCTATCTTCATAATGATTTGTCAAGTAAAATTCGTTGTAAATTTAATTTCTGTTATTGTCAACATAAATGAAACTAAGTATGTAGCACAACACTTACTCATGTAATCAATAATATCAGAATATCCTTTGAACTCTGCAGCCTATGCATGACACATTAAAACCATTATGAAGAGGCTTCAAATATTTGATTTGAATTTCTTTTAAATTCTTACAAAAATACCCATGAAATGTTATCCATGAGGATTCACACACCTTCTACGAGTATACTCGAGTCAGAAAGAAAATAATTTTAATATAATTTTAGGCATACGTCTTTGTTAAGTGTCTTGTATAAAACATTTTATTCATCTGTTCCAACTACTTGTAATCTAAACTCTACGTGTTAAATAGAGAGTTGATTAGTATTACCTTCCTGACAGTCAATTGTGACGCAGTGGCATATCTTCGGTTTGTGTCGATGTTGGGGGCGGGGGTAGAGGCGTCAATCGTCCAGGGTTACACTTGAATGGGTGTGAAAACACAGAAAGAGAGGGCTAATGTACAATAGAGGGTTCTCTGGTGATGTTATGATAGAGGACAAAGCAATAGCAAACCCGTGCACTAGGACCATGAAAACAATGACTGTTCATAGTCCGATGCACATGTTTTTATTGTTTGTCCTTCAACATGGCTGCTTCACCTGCTTGGGGGAAACCTCTATTATAATAATGTCAATTAATAATTTATAATGCTTTTCCCCCTCTAAATATCACTCTCTTTGCTCCCCGTTATATGTTAACGATCTCGTAATAAGGGGGCCGCTATCTACGATATTGTGTATTATACGTTTTCAAAGGTTCGACGATTCGAAAAATGACAAACGATCGTGGCTTCACTGCTTTGCATAGGATCGTGTCCATCTGCGTACCATACAGGATGAATGTATAAAATAACATTGTTGAAGGTTTCATACAAACTTCCGGTGTCTTGGTCAATTTGTCGACATTTGAGTCATCGAGGTTTTTATTATTTTTGCTTCCTAAACACAGGAAGAGGTAAATGGAAAAGCGATTTATAATGTCCACAATTAAAAAGACACTAATGATTAGTTGCAATGCTCCCTTGCGAATTCGCCCTAAGGGTATCATTCATAATTTTATGCATCCTTTAGAGGTGAAAATTTAAACAATAACAATACCGCTCGGTCCTCCCCATTGCCTTGTAATGACTTATACAATTTTAACATCCATTTACGTCATGTTACGTGCATGTATACATAGTTCATAAGTTCTAAATTCAATGCGGGAATTAATCTGGTTTTGATATTTTAGCTCCTAACTTCTTGCAGGAGGGACGCACATTTTCTTTTTGAATCCCTTTCGGACTCTATAATCCCGATAACCGCCACTGGAAAACATCCATGTTTCTTTTTCTTCATTAAAAACAATTGACTGCCGTTCATACAACAAGCAACTTCTGTAGTATGCGTGTGCTTCTAGATTATAGCACTCTTCCATTTTTGACGATTAATTACCTCACACTATCTACTACCCACATCTTTCACGTTTCAGCGATCACTGATACAATGCTTGATCAATGATCTAAATTGCAATCAGTCTTAAATGGTCATTGTAATTGGCCATGTAAATTGGTCGTCCAGGCGTAAATTGGATGAATTTGTTTGGGTTGAAACATGTTGGGGCTTAAGTGACAGCTTTAGGCACAGTGACAGTGTCGTTGATTGGTGTTCTGAACCTCCAGGAGGCACAGAGCCATTTGCTTATACTGTAATATATGCATGTTCGTGTTTTTAAGGAAATGAGCCAATCGACTAACCAATCAGGACGGTCAGGCGCAGTTTTAGAAGAATATTTACTTTTTTTGCAGATGCCTGGCTCAAATGAAATTATGAACGTCTTTTTTTTCTCGGGAGGATTAACTCTCAAGACCCCAACCCCAGCCCCACTATAAGACAGTTTCTGACAACTGTGCTATAACTGCTCGAAGGGTGTCTAGATTCAAACCCTTGGTTCTTTATTATGACAAATGTTGTGGTCGTAAACCTCCGAATATTCCTCTTTCTTTCTTTCGCCTCCTTAGATGTCAATCACATACTGCGTGATGATGCTATGTGTAAACGGCTGGTGCGAGGAGACTATATCAAGTTTTGTTTGCCATTGTTCTTCTGATTTTGCAGGGACGAACTGTTAAACGAGTAATTGACCTTCGTCCTGAGCATCATGCATGAACAGGTTGTTGGCAACCGTTGCTATGAGACTCATCTCCGATGCTAGTCACCTCTTTACCTAAAAGTGCATTTCATGTACTTAATTAGAAATCACACTGCCACACGTAATTTAATATTCAAGGTCGGTCTCTTGCTGGTATGTTGTATCAGGGATAAGGCTACATAAAATAGCTATTACATGATATTTTGATGACATGAAATCTTGAAACTCCGATGCTATTAATGCAATAGAAAGAATGAAAACAATGGAGAAAAGAGAGGAAGGTAGAAAGAAAAAAAATCTGACTAGGCTTGCCGTTCATCTACAATTTAAGTGAAAGTGCCCCATAGGCTCATCATTCAAGGTCACCATCTCCCAGCCAGGAATTGTACCTACACTGTCTTATCACCATAAAGAACCAGATAAATAAATAAAAGATAAAAAAGTAAATAAGTAAAATTAAAAATACAATTAGTAATAAAAACGAGAGGAATGATAAGAATAATAATTACGATAATAATAATGAAAATTATACCATGACAGAAAAATCATGCCTGGTTTTATTATTTATTAAATAAATCTATGTATCTACCTATTATTTGCTAGTTTCCCTAAACTACGCAGCCATCGAGAACTAAAAACGTCACATTCGCGCATGCCCCACCCCAGTACATTGCCTACCTAGGGTCACGTGCGCAAACGCACGCCCGCCATCATCCTCTGACGAGCCACCTGAGACAACGCCATAGGCATGTTGCTGGGCAAGGAGCCCGCAAGGAGAGGGAGCGGAGGGAGGGACAAAGGTAGATACATAGATTTATCTAGTAAATAATAAAATCAGGTATGATTTGTCTGATTTGATGTATCTACCCATTATTTGCTAGAGTAACACGGATAAGTCCGGGTTGCATGTCCCAAGTGGAAGGGGGTTAATTGTAATTTATGGCAGACGATGGCGCCCTCAAGGATGAAGTCGCAAACAGTACTTCACCAGAAGGAACGTCTCTGATATAAAAGGAAGTGAACGAATTGGGAGACCGCCAAAAGGTGGCCCTTATAATATCTTCCAGGCCATTACATTGACAAAGAGCTGGTCGTCCTAACGATAACTCTTGTCCAAGCACCATTTCAATGCCCTCATCTGGCTCCAGACTTTGTCCTCCTTGACCGAGGAGAAGTCAGAAAGGGGACCGAGGAAAAACTCAACCGGCCCGGAGGAAACCGACTGGTTCTTTGCAATAAAGGAGGGCCTTGGTATAAGTCTAACGCCCTGTCCCTCCAACCGGATATGGCCAGGGGAGGTACACAGGGTATGGAGAGTACTCATCCTCTGCTGGGACGCAATAGCGATGGGGAACATGGTTTTGACCGTCAAATGTATGAGAGAAGCTTTAGAAAGGACGCATCAGTCGTGAGGAAAACTGACGGAAGAGGGATACGAAGGGGTTTGCCCTGAGTTATAAACGACTCGTTTGTCCAGGGGACGAGAATACGCAAGATTTCCCTCGGTAGTGGGATCCATACCTCGAGGGAAACCACGCTCGGC